TCGATCAGAAGACTGCTGTTCTCGACTGTTCATTGTGGACATTCGAAGTTCTGGCGAAGCTGCAGCGGACAAGGCGCGCTCGGGGTGGCGCCACATCTGCACACACAGAATACAGAAACTGCAAATGATATATAAAGAATATATATATATATATATATATATATATATATATATATATATATATATATGGCGATGAGAAGAGACTAAAGAAAAAAGAGTACTTTATTATTACTGTAGCTAATATATAAATAAAATATATATATATATATATATACATGTAATGAAAAGAGAGATGATAATGGAAATGAGTTTAGCTGTGTTAGTTTATCTTACTGTTCCGTTTATTTCCTTTTCTTGTCTTTTGTGAAATATCGTTGATTGTGATTTTTATCTAGGTTCAAACTGAGTCTATAGCCAATGCGAATAAAGTCACTAAAGGTTAATGATAACCTAAGGCATTTTCTTTTTCATAGTTATAATGTATGTGAAGTGAGCAAGTCTAGGCAGTCTTTCGTCATAGTTCTCTTGTTATTTTCGGGTCTTTATTTAAAAAAAAAAAAAAAGGAAGACTACGAATAAGGAAAGATCGTCCTTGGGTGTTTTGAAACTTTGTTGATGAATTCTGTTTTGAACGCTTTCGTGGTATGCCTGATACGCAGACTATAGCTTATGCTTGATCAGGCTATCCCATAAATATATGGGCTTTTTAGTATGCACTTTTCTGTGTGTAGGGGTTCAGAGTTTACTTGTTACGCCAAGTCTGTTCTACATCTGGTTGTTGATTATAGGTATGTATCAGGATGGGACATAAATATGGTTGTTTTACTTGCAACAAATTGATCGTTCTGTATTTGTCGCCAGACGATTTCCCGACCCATTTATTTATTCCTGGTTACCAACAATCTTCAGATCTGTTGGTGAAAAGCAGCTTTCTACACTACCAAACGTACAATTTCGAATTCAACTTTCCAGTGGTCAGAAAAGATCGGCCTGGATCAGAATCGGCTTGCGTTGCTAGAGAGTACGCTGGTCGCAAAAACTTGCTCGCCCAAGCTTATATAAGCCCATTTCAACGACCTTTGCCATTTGTAGCGTAGGGTTGTCCTGGAGATAGATGGCTTCGCGTTGTCTATCGAGGCTCTTATATTCGATAAATGCAACTAGGCCATATAGATATTCATGTTGATCGTCTGCTTTTTCTTAGGTAATTCACAGTATAGAGGACCTTTGCAGTTTTCTTAAGCGCAAATTACGGCTTTTTGGAATGAAGATCCGATTTAGTTTTGGATTTAGGTATCTATCTCGCAGCTGCCAGCTCTTTTCCCTGTCTCATGTGGATGAGGAGACGTCGATTCTTATCCGCAACGACTTTCTGTAGAAATATGTTTGTTCGATGCCGGTCTAAATGTTGAAGGTAAATGAGATTTTGTACGCTTCAGCTAGTCTATGGCGCGTCTAAACTTTTAAACTTGAAACTTAAAAACATTTTTGATAACATTTTATAAAGACAAAATAAAGCTAATAGCCTGCTTCCTCAGCTAATTGAAGAGTTGTTTACCATCCAGGAACTTATTTAGCGGTGCAAAGTACTGGCCTCCAAGTACAATGTCCCACCTTCGAACCAAGTAAACCCATCGGGAAAGCCTTGATACTTACAGGGTCCTTGTGATTTGGGTGTACGACCAAAATAATCCTAGGTTTTGTGCAAAAGGGAAATAAAGTAGGTATAGAACATATAATTCTTAATTGTATATAGAAAGGTTCAGTAAGAAGGCCGGAATCAACGAAAGTATTTAAGGAAATAGCGGCACAACTATCTTTCAAATATATATTTATATATACATATACACAAGAACAAGACAGTTTGGTAATTTTTTATTTAAATGTGGGACACACATACTGTTTATTGAAAATAACTTATATATCTTCTTGGCAAACACGGTATCTAAATTGGTAAAAAAGAACGGTTTGTACTCTCCGGACAAATGCCGTCTGCTTGTCCGAACGACATATATCCATAGTATGTGCCAGTTAAGAGGAAAGGCTCATTTCATAATTGTATTATATATGTCTACAATTTTTTTTTTTTTACTTTTTAAAACGTGTACATATATAGTTTCGAAAGATGAATGCTAATGTTCTATTGGCAAGATTCTACTGCTGGCGTCCTGCCTATGTACTTTCTATACTTGTTTCGATGAATTTCTAAGCAAATAAAGGTATCGTTGAAGTACTTGTTGTTGCACCGACCTGGTATGCGGCTTCATGTACGAGTAGCATGTGACCCTGCTTGTTTCTTTATGTATATACAAAAGCGGCAATACGGGATCATTGAATAACATCTGGTACTGCACACAAATGTGCATTTCTTATAGTCATATCATAATATCGACTATCAGTATTCAATGCGTTCGCCATTGTGTAATAAAGTGAAATATATCCTAACCTAACCTCTCGTAAGTATGATTCTAATAGCAAAATGAGCATTTTTCATTTTGTCTTCGGCCACCATCGAAGATCGTCAAGTGTTTTTGTCAGTGACGATGGCCTAATTCAAGCTTTTCTCTGCTACAGAATTTATACGCCGGTTTAGTCCTTCAGAAATACACAACCTCAATCGTTCTTAACTCATACAATTTTCTAAACTGAAGTTACCTCACATCGTGTATCTTCTGTAAATGTAGATGATAATTCGAATGCCGTTGTACCCAATGGAGATAAACCGTTTGTCCTATAGGATCAGCTAAGTTTTCCAGTGTGGACCCTGTGTCTACATGCATAATATAAGTGGTATTTTTTTGCCGTACATTGAAACATACAAAAGCTTGTTCAAAGTGCTTTTGCTGGAGGGTCTCAAATCATACCTAGCATAGTTGAATATTTATAGCCCTGTTGCTCGAGCCCGTTAGGAGCGTTTATTATCAAAGTGTACTTTCTAATAAGGAGCACAAATATTGTTAGTACAATATAGTGGATCCAGCTGTGGCGTCTACGTGTGTGTGTAGAACTTCCCTTCAAATATCAAATCGATAAGTTTTTCCTTAAAGCTTGAAGGATATTCGTCAAACCATGAATATGTGTTGTCTTAAGATAGTTTTTGTGTTCGATGCATCTCTCGGATCTTGAGCACGACAGCCTTAAGAGGCTCAGCTTTCCAAGTCGACCACCTGAAACAATTAAATGGGGACGAAAGTAATGAGCAATTATTGAAAGAGTGTTATCACTATAGATCCATGAGAAAAAATAACTATTGAATGCGGATAAAAAAAAAAACGCTAGTGGTTCATCGCTGAAGAAAAATCGCTGGCGGGTAGAGACGCTCGTCACGAAACCACCTAGCAACACGGTGAGTTTAATAGATTAAACTTCTTTAAAAGAGCTTCGGTAATGTTCAATTATGTTTAGAGAGGAAAAATCATTCGTAGCATCATTAAATTCTCGTCACTTTATACTGCACTGATAACTAACTGTTTCATACCGTTGGAAAGCTAGGTGATTGCTATGTATTGCATATAAATTTGCGAAACGTTCGAGCAGACGGTTTCAATATTTTATGTTTATCTTTAACTTGCAACAACTTATTTTCATACTTATGATTTACCATGATGAACTACTTTTCATTTTTTCGTTTTATATCATTCTTTTGCTTAAATCTTAAATCTGCTATTTGTTAGTTAAAATGCCGAACACTTGGCATTTTGAGGATCGCCTTTATTTACTTCGAGAGCCGAACTCCAAGTAGAACCTCACGATACGACTAAAGCTATGAGAGGCACAACGAGGAAATTGTGAGGGACGAATAAAGAGGTTCCCACTAACGTATAAGCCTCGGCTATCAGCGAACGAAATTAGAAAAGAACAAGCAGTTAATAAAAACCGCCGCTGAGAAGCCAAATTTGAAGTAAACGCTGCCGTAGAATTTTCATGTAGTTCCAAATGCAACAAAAGGATCCTGTTTGTGCCACACACCTAATGCCATTTTTCGTCGTTCCGGTAGAGGGCGTAGCGTACTCTCCGGTTAGAAGAACACTGTAGCATGAATGCCACCAATGACCCGCCCTGTGATCAACGGGGCAGTGACGCGGGCCCGAAACCTTATCAGCAGTAGAGAACTGTTTGTCGTTATGTCGTCTGAACGCATTGCCCACTCTGAAATATTTACAGCATTATTCCTCTTTCCTGCTTCTGTGAATCACTGAAACCTCTCAGTACCTACGCTTTCACAATAGACCTAAAGACATTTTGAGTTTCACTGCTATTAAGCATTCTCTTAAACTGCTGGATGGCAGATTCCAAGGAAGTTAGTACTCTACAACCGATTTTGAACTTAAACTACACCTTATGTGGTTCTTTCGTAGTCAACCTAGCGATTGCAGCATGAAGGATGCTTATATATGATTTCGGATTCATCAAAAGGACATTAAGCGCCGCCATAGTATGAAACACTTGGTAAACGGTACCTTGTGTTGTTTCCAAGATACCGGCCAACACGCATGCGGTAGTTGTCATTTTCGTTCTCTACAACGAAATTTTCGTAGTCGAGTATTATCCTGTCACCGTCAAATGACTCCAGCTCAACCCGGAGCATTTTTGGTGTCTCAGTTAGCTTGTGAATGTATTCGTTGCCGAAGTAGAACTCGTCCTGGATGTTACCTATTTATATAAAATGGAATAATATTTATAAATATCTACTTCAATTCAACACACTGCCTCTTCTATGTAGCGCTCTTACTAGAACGATATGTCCTCTATAAACGCGTGGATTGGAACAGGCAGCAGAGCTGAAGGCTTAAAGAGGCCAGGAGGTTTCTGATTCAAATCCGGTCGGGCATCGAGATATTCATCTACCTCCGAACCTAATAGTATAAAAACTAAAACCCCTAGCTAGTGTATAGATCTGCGAAGGGGCCACTAAAGAATGCCCCTGCTTTCTGCACTTACCGAAGCCATATTTATAAGAAGCCCAGCTACGATCGAATGAGAGAGGTTGGGCATTGCCCTTTGGGCCACGGCGAAGCACCAGGGTCCATCCACCTCCTGTCATGTCACACATCACCTACGGAAACACCCAGACGTTTCTATAGTTTAGGTGCAAGACAGCAAACTAGAGGCATCCTTATGATGATAAACAGTATTAAAATAGAACATAAAATGAAAGAAAATAACCCGCAAAGAGAACGATTTCGGATAAACTAATTTGTTATTTTGCAATTGGGCTCTTATTAACCTAGTCGCGTATGATGCATCGTTTAAGCCCGATTTTGTTACACACCCAATAATTTCATTACTTTTAACCTAAATGATTTAGACTAGATGCGGGTTTGTCTTGCTTGACAAATAATTGTTTTTACTCACTTTCATAGGTTTCTTTCCCTGCGCATCATAGACAATGTAGGGACCATCACAGTTAGCGCCGGCTATAAGTAAGTCGAATAATTTCTATTAATACAGTACTATATAATAGTTGCGGGTTGCTGAACAATTGCTTTTGTAAAAATACCTTTTAATTATGACAAATAATGAAAAAATTAAAAGTAACGGACTATTCGAGTCTCTGTCTCGAGTGTGTGTCTCATTAGAAGTATTAAGAAAAGAATGGCTTTGGAGAGCGGTAAGTGTAATTGGCAACAAAATTGCCTGATTCATGCCCAGTCGTGAATTCTATGCATTTAATGTGGTGAAGTGTATGGGGGGGATGGGGATGGGGGTGAAACCCCCAAGCCGTTTCCTAGTGCAGAAAATTTGATTACACTTGACATGATTATAAACCCAAGAAAGCTCATTTTTAAAAAGTAGGTTTTGCGGTAACGAACCTTGTCTGAGCTGGTCGCAGTTGTGGGGAACCGTAACGCTGCTTGACATTTTGCAGTCGTCTCGTTTGGGCCCAACGAAAAATGATAATTCAGGAATAGGTGTAGAACGGGGGAGCTGCGTTGCTACCATATTCGACGAGCTTGAAGACTGTAATAGCACCTGGAAAATCGTTTCGTTGGTGAGAAGAACACAACGAATTAGGATTGCACGACGAGCTGCTTTTGTGATAAACGCAAAAAATATGTGAGATAATAAAGACAGTCTAACCTGGGCCATCGGTGGAGCATTTACTACAGCCCGGGTACAGCGTTTGAATCCGTCGCGCACCTCCTCTATAACCTAGAATCGTTCATTATACGAAGACGCAAGCGGGATATTAAAGCAGCATGAGATTATCGTAGCTTATTTCTGCAAACATGTTCAGCTATCAAACTTCTATAGGGGAGATTGTTTATTGATTTCCCTAGATAAAGGAATAAGCTGACTTACCTTCGACATGTCATTTTCAACAATTCGTGGATTATTTTCCCCCATGCGTTGCATATCCTCGGTCAGAATCATGTTCTCCGAGATGTCTTCGTTCCGCATCATCGAGGATTATATTTATTTCAACGAATGATTGAAAATAAGAAAATTAAAACAAAATGTATATAGATGTATTTAAACCGAACACGACTGCGAAGTTTTATTTATTTATTAAATACTGTTCTTCCATTCTCTGTTTTGTGTGTTTCGACTTTCCCTTTAGTGTAAGTACTGTCTTAATTACTAACTTACTTAGCAACTAGGTCGGACGTTGAGGTTGGGTGCCGATGTCGAAAGCTCAGAGAATGGTAAGGTTTGTGCTTGAAGAGATCAAAAACATTACAGAGAAGCTAATGCAACTTAGAAAGAATTTTGACTCACTAAAGGATTATAGAAGACTGCCTATAGTTTAGATAACTTACAGGAAACTTTTTCAGAAGCTAACCGGGTCATCATGGTAACTTCGTTGATCGAGTCACTTAACCTCTCCTGTAAAACGTCGAGTTTCTCTTTGAACTCACGACTGAGGGATTCCATTGAGTCCTAAACAAATGAAATTTTCAAATTAGCGACTCGTTAGAAAAAAATTGCATTGGTCGTGTATTATCCTTTGCCTAGATATGTCTAGTTATATGGCTAGGTTATATGTCTCGGTTGAAATTTAGGTAACGATTTGGCGCTTCTTTGGTATCGTCTGTTATTTAAAATACTACTTTAGTAGCATTTTAATACTTGAATAGTAATAAACTGTAATTATTATTAAAAGAAGTTATGACTGTGGCTCGTATTTTTTCGTATATTTTACTTCATAACAACAAAATTGATCTCTCCGTAGATACATACAGTCTGAGCGTATACTGTTGTAGAATCAAATAGAACTTATCATTTGACGATAATAGTAAGTTGCATTGTAATAAATTGGAAACAACTAGCTATGATTAGTTCTAGTTAAAGCTGCAAATATTGGTCTTACAAGTTTTAACTTTGCTTATGGAACGACTGTTGTAAGTTTCAATTGTGGCATTCGTCACCTGAAGGAAGAGGAACTGCTGTGTATTGGGCGGGCTTCGATTGCCCGAAGTAGCGATACTACTCGAACGTCCTTTGTTCTCACCGGAGCTCGTATGCAGTCGTTCATATACCGTGTTTACAGCTACATAATGATAAGAAACGCCAGAACAAACGCGTCCGCATTATTTTTCTCTCATATTTACATCAGCGATCTAACAAGCATCAACGAACTACTTCAGAAATAACGAGAACCTTTCAACATCTACCAGCACGTATTTTTGCTAATTAGTATTAATTATACGTTATTTAACAAGGCAGCATTGATTCTGTTCCATTGACGAGTCGTACGGTACATTTATTGTAGGAAATAATCTTAGAACCATGCACGCCAGAAATCATACTACAGAGGTTGTGTCGTAGAACAGATAATGTCATATCTAAACCTTCTGGATCAATGCTACTAAGTCTACTGCTAGGGGCACCAAGTCGTTCACGAGAAGAAACCGAGATATGATAGATAGGGGAAACTATGACTCACTGTTGAGGATTTTCTTTAGAATATCGGTGAAGATGCGCTCTTGTTCCTCGCGCTTGTTTTCAACAGAGACAACTCGATCAAGAGACTGATCTAGCTTCTCGTCGAACTTCCGTTGTAGGGCTGATACCGAGCCTTCAAGACTTCGTAACCTATTATCAAATACGTCTGAAAACAGTAAACGTCAAACCGCAATGAATAAAAGCTTGAAAATTCGCTCACTTAAATTACGTGTGTCGTAACTGACTTAATAACTGGATTTGTATGTAAAGTTTCTTTGTAAAAGATTGCCGCATCCTAGATATAGTATTTTGTCAAGCGCTTTTGCTACTATCAGAATGGAAACCAGGAAAGTGTAGACCATACAATATGCCTTCATTGAATGCACGAGTACCCTTCAAAACATCACAACAATAGAAAATCAACGTAGAACAAACAGGATTTACCGTCGAAGACCTTGAAAATAGAGGGACCGCTTTTCGGAAAGCTTCTACACTACCTACAATAGGCAGTGGACCAACTTCCGTTTTTTGCGGAATTTACGTGCGTTAAATGAACGGACTTAATCCATAACAGCTATGCTCCACAGTGACCGCGGAATCCCAATTTTTTTCTATGCACGTTTGAACTGAGCGGTTTGCCTATCGTCGGACACGAGTGCTGTTCATATAAAGGCGAAACACTAGTTGGCGCTGGACGTCTACACATGTGATACGGCATCTTGCTGGACCTCATGCAGGTGCAGCCGTTCGTTATTTTTTTATCATCGGTGAGCGATAGCAGGCATCCTCTACTAGTTTATTTGTCTCGGTATCGTTGCTGAGCCGTAATCTAGAAGAGATAACACAAGGAAGAACTCGCGCGGTCTAACTATGGGACAGTTTCGAATTGCTATTTCCTAGAAGGACTGCGTATAAAATATCACATATTTGCCTGATTTACATGCATAACGTTCGCCACGATTAGGCCCTATGTCCCACAAGTCGATCGCAGCGAACGATGAATGGACCAGACGGTGATAATCATTTGGAACATGTTTCATTCGTTTATGGCTTAGTCGCTATCGGGCTATACTGCAAATTGGTGCGTTGATCCTTTCTTTTGCTACAACTAATTCAAACAGGAAAAGTCCCGTCCCAAGGTTAAACGGGAGCTATTTGTAATTAGGATGACAAGAAAACTAGTACTTGCAGGAAGGCTGGCCATTGTCTTTAGTATGAAAGATGGCTCCACTCTTCTGTGAGATTCAAGAGTCTCATCTTTCTTGTGATTTGTCGCATAATATGATCTATTAGAGTATGACGAGCAAAAGTCTGCGTCAGAATATTTCCACTTGGCAATAAAGCCAATAGTGTATAGAAGGGCAACATTTGTGCTGACAGATCGAATAATATGAGTTAGGAGACCATGACTACCCAATCTTAAGCGAATCAAGCATAAACGTTCAGCTTCTCTGGCGTTATATGAAGCAATTATTCCGGTATACTATATTCTTTGTGCGTGGCTACCTTCCCTCAGTACGGACCGAACATCAGTTCTGCCGCGCTAAAAAAAACCAGTGAGGCTATCGTTCGCGCAATATCTAGCCCTCCCATATCTCAAAAGGTAAGCTTTATTATATTTGTCCACAAGTGGTGGCGGACCATGTGTTCCTATAGCCGGCACGCGCCCAATAATAACGCCCCAGTGAATATTTCTCCTAAAAATTAATATACTATCTTTGTTTAAGCGTTAGAGGACACTCGCCGTGAGCAGCGAGAGGTCTCTCGTGTAGAAGTCAAGATAACGAAGATGGATGAATTTTTCCGAGTTAATTAAGCTAAGCGTCCGCCTTTCAGGCGGCCGATGCCACGTCGCAAGAAAAAAGTGCCGCGGCCTGCGCCGCAGCAGCTATCGAAACTACCGCAAGGGCCGATACTCTCTACACAGTGTTACTGCTGTTGTTGTTGGCAAAGGACGGTCAATTTCGAGCCGATTTCAGCCAATCCGCTTTTTCCGTTCGGTAATAACTGTATGCACTACATCGGGACTCTAGCGTAAGTATCCTAATAAGCACATGGGGCAAGTGTAGTTCGATCGAGTACAAAGAGGTGTTTGGTGAGGCCGTATTTACCAACTTAGGGCTGCTATCTTCTTCTGACGGACCTTAGCAAAATCGTTCGTAGTTGCCAAATAAATGATTTTGTACCTTAGTGCAAATCTCATGCATTATAATAATCGTGCATTATCATCATCATCAATCACTTTACTACCAGCCCGACGCTCAGTTCCCGACGCTATGATTTTCGGGAATAAATCGTCTGGACGGCCAATATGATTCTTAACGAATATCACACTTCGTGGCTATGTATACATGCTATGGGCTTGTTGATAGCCCTGTTACACTTATGTGACACATCTGCTCGGCAAACGGGTCAGTATCTCGAAAGAAGCTTTCGAATTATACGAGAAGAGAGCGTAAGGTTAACCCTTTCTCCACGAAGGTTTAAAAAACATGCAAAACGAAGCGGCAACAACAAGAAGGCAACGTGTTCCTTCCAGCCCCAAACTGCTGATCTCAATGTGCGCAGGAAAAAAACACGGACGTACGGCACTAGAATTATCAAATGGGGTTAAAAGTTTCTTGGTGGTAGATACGCACGGAGGATGAGACATTTGCTCACGGACTCAGTCTAGATCGTCCGTCTGACCAATCGGCCCGCAGAGACGAAAAATGTTTTATTCAATGATCACTGTTCTAAAGCGCGCGCCTCGAAAATGGGCGGTGCGCAAAGCGTGTTAATGGTGAAAAATTAAGTCAGTAAATTATATTATAAGCTGTCTTCTTTGAGAAACTACCTTGTTTAAAGTAAAGTTTTCACAGATACGATATAAAACATGGGAAATTCGAGATATATATAGAACCTCAAAATCGTTAAACACGAAGGACTCACAACAATCAAACTGAGAGGTAAATTTAGATAGGGATCAGTATTCTGTTCGAAGCGAACGAATTTCCTAGTAGATCCGCAACATGTAGACGGTTTGTGGTGGCAACTTTTCACGCAGAAATTTACTAATTCTTGGTGCGTTTCGCTGGCCCTAGAGAACAGTAACTGTAACCTATAAACGAAATCTAGCCAGAGGAAACCTCTCTCTCCCCGGAGAAGGTTCCGTATTTGAAAGAAAGACGCCGCGTTGCTCTGAAGATAACTGGCCAAATTCGAATCAGATCTTTCGACGGAAAAGCCGCCTTTAAATATTGATTCCAGGTGTACAGTCTTCCCCAAGAGAAGTGCCCGCTCAAACCTGCCCAGCCCCGTTTGGCCATATTCCGATGAAAACGAACGAAGCAGTGCGACAAACATGTAAAAGACTACAGTATACGCGTTGTATTTATAGAACGGTCAGAATTTCTGCTTGTTAAAGACCTAACATTCGGTGTTCGTTCGCACTATACCCATACTCGTATTCCTGTTACAGGGATCCAGGCGTGGTTGATTACGCTCCTCTAGGTACTGCGCAGCGGGGATGCCCAGCACATTTTCAACTTCCACATTCGTCTCCCTCAAGAAACATGTGGGGAACGTGGCAGTCCTCACCTCCTCGATATATTACTCCCGTATACCCAATTCAGCGGAGATTCATTGGGTTTTATTTGAAAGGAGTCAATAGATATTGAATCATTGCAGACAGATTGCGTGACGCTTTTGTCACTCGTGCTTGCATTGGTTATAGCAGCAGAAGCGAGAGCAGTCACGACTCGTTTTCGCAAAGTAGATCAACAGGTTACGCCTGACTGAACAATGATTTGGTCCCAGTTGAAGAAGCAAAAGAATGCTCTTTGGGTTAAAAATTAAACGAGCTAAAAAAATGTCTTCCTTTTCATTTTCAAAAATTATAATTATCATAATAAACAGCTGTGTTTACCAGTTCTATTTGAATCACAGGTGCTTCCCGACTAGTAGGACAAAGTAAGTTTTTCTAGATTATGCGGAGTTTCGTGCTGAAGTTACTGGCTAGTGTTTTCAATGGACTTAGAGCTCAACGAACCTTTAAAGCAAACAGATTGGCGAAACTGAGATGAGAGCAGACGTAGAATCAATGCTATACTATATATACAGGGGTGACATGAATCTGTGGTGCAGGAAAGTGTATATGTGAACGAGCATGTGCACTTAAAGATGAGGTGTTAAGAGTAAACGCATGATGGGGCCAACAGCTATGCACCTCGTCTCGTAACGTCATATGTGCAGTAATCGTGCCGTTGAGGAGAGATCATTCCTATGCTCTTATTGCTCGAGACTGGCTCCAGCCGAATGCATCGTAGCCGTTGCAACGATCAGAATGACCTCAACAAAGGATTTCTCTCGCTTTGTACAGTCATATCGTAGGTTGTTGGCCGGCGCGTCACCATGTGGTACACAGATGTCTATGTAGAGCACTCGGGCACTTTGGACTCAGATACGGTATATAGCGTCAGCGCAGCAGCAGCAGCAGCAGCAACAGCAACAGCAGCAGCAGCAGCAGCAGAAATAGCTAAGAAGCAATAGTTAGCAACGAAAAACAAGGACCTAGAGTGGCCTAAAAGGCTTATGAGAAAGTTGATTGAGTGGCGTTGAATGGACGACGACGACATGATTTATTCTTATATTAGACAGATAAGGCGCAGATGCAGTGAGAGGCAATGGTAGTGTGATCGTTCTTTGCTGTTGAAGCTCCTTGAAAGAGGCAGTGACGGTAACGTTGGTGCTAAACATGCATGATCGCCGGAACCGCGTTTCGCTACATACCCGTAATTGTGACGCATGCAAGCTAGCTGATCAAACCTTCATGGCAGTACGCTTTTACCTGGAGTGCAATTCCCAGTGACAGCTAATTTTGGACAATTACGACGTCTGCTCTATTCCTTGAATGGAATGACTAACAGGAAATCGACCACAGCATATCGAAAGTGATCCATCTTTGCAAAACGCCATAACCGTTTTAAAGGACTAAATGCAATTCACGTGAATGAGAGTGTATCCCAGAATAGCCTAATTTAAAGTCAAGGGTATAGGCAGGGAACGTTGTCGACACGACAGATGCGAGATGTGTGTATCCGACGCTTTAGCGGATGAGCTGATCCTATGGCCGCGAGATCGGACTGCTAGTAGGCCTTTAATCAAGCAGCGGTAGTCAGCTGATCAGTGCATATTTGCCAATGAACGCAGAAACTGTTAATGCGCCCCAGTGTCTTCAAGCGTTCAACGATGAATAGACCGTGTAACCTGTCTTGTTTGCTCTATCTAATTCGTACACAGCAGATTAATTAGATCTAATTTGCGGACCGACAGCCATATAGAAATTGTTGGCATTCATGTTTATTAGAATTCATTGTTTAATTGCATTAGGCAGGACAAGAACGACCCGATTAGCGTGAAAACCCAGCAACCGGAAGGAGAAATTGAGTCCCGACGCAATTACATATAACTTGCACGTTAGTTTCTCGTTACAAGGAAATTACGAACAACGCCTTCATTAAACGAAAACATTGGGACGAGTCCGCAGGCCGGACAGCGTCAGGAAACTTAAATGATCAATTAAAGGAACGTTATGTCATAAGTTACCATATTGTTTTTTTTTTGCGAATCTTCGTAACAGTACAGCTTCTCAATATTGCTTTGAATAGAGGTATCGTAAATCAGATTCAGCCCATGAGAAGAACAGTCGATTCTGTCTCAAGATGCGGACGGCGCAAATCATGATAACTTACTTTATCATAATATACATTGTAACATGAACATATGAACATATAGGGGAGTCTAGAAGTAGCGATCCTTAGGCAATGTCTGATTTCAAGAAGTTGTGCACTTACACACTTCGCCATTCATAGGGACCCTATTATCGATTTAGGGGTTAGATAGTTATTAGGTTTTAGTCACTTAATCACACATTGTATATTTCATTAAGGTATGACGCATGTGTGAACCCTTTGATACAACACAATTTCGATGTCAAGACAAGCAATGACAGTTTTTAAGTTTATAAGTTGCGAAGATGCTGGGCTGTCGACATCGTTTTTAACTTTTATATGGATACTTTTCACCGGCGCCAATTTCTTCTCGACATGGGTTCTATGCGCGAGCTTTATAGATGAGCTGTGTATGTACTCAAGCGTCACTGGGTCATGACGGCAGCAGCTCTAACTAATATGTGCTTCGGCAAGGTAAACATATTGCGGAAACACAAAGCACGCCGAAGTTATTTCTTACTTACAATATAATTAAGTTCAATGTGTTGCAACTGTGTCGAAATGTATTCTGTGCATTACAGATCGAAATATTTCCTTGACGCTCAATAGGCTCGTCTTGGGTCCTGTTTGACTCACATTGGCAAGTGTTTATCAATTAGGTCATGTTGCGTCTATGGGTGCGTCTATGCAGAACTGATCCATCTGTATACACGCTATCGTTACACAACATGTCTATTACGTTGCTACTCAAGTACGCTGCATCATTTCACTATACTAGTCTAATGCAGAACTCACCATTTGATAGTCCCGTTGACTGTTGTTGTTGCGTGGGTATGACAACGGGCCTGCTACTGATCATTTCAAGTCTCGTTTCGATTCTTTCTAGAATGATGGCCATTGGTACTAACTGTTGGGCCGTGGCCTGCAGTTCATCAGTCAGCTGTTCTTTGACCTCTATCAACGCTTTTAATGAAACGCACTCAGGTGCACCACGCGCTGCTTTTAAGCTCAACGCTAATATGGCCAACATTACGCTGGCTACAGGAGACATTTTCTTTTGTTATGATGCTTTTCAGAACGTTCTATTTATAACTGCCACAGAGTAAATAATATGCGAGAGACCAACGTGGCTACAGAAGTACACAAAGCACGAAGATTTCCTGTCTTTTTTTTTTTTTTGCTTGTTTTCTTTTCTATCTCTAACTTCAAAGTACCATTATCCTATCTCACTGTTCAGCACCGTTCGCCGTCTGCCCGTTTTCTGCCGAGCGGACCCACTCTCATCTCAGGACAACCTCACGCGCCAGTACGAATGTATCACTGTGTTACATTAGCTCCTAGTCACCGTCACCAAAAGTCCGACGATCACTGTGCGACCGCTTCCATCAAGATCACTGACACACTGTGGACTCTGGCGGGCCTTTTTCTAACGGTTCATGCTTGATGTTCTCACCGCGTCTCCCCGCAACCGCTGATGTCGCCCGCGTCGATGTTGCTAACTCTACCGATAATGACAATAAAGAGCAACGGAGGAAAGTTGAGACGGACCGCTCTGTTGCAGGACGTCGCTACTCTGTGGGCGAGAGGGATGGAGAAAAAAGACCTTAGGTTATTTGCTATTCTGTGCCTTGGTCGCAGGCGCGACCCTATTCCTGCTCTTTCGCGGCTTCTCCACAAACCTATCAAACTATGCTGAGTTCTTAACGTCGCTGGTGTCGGTGTTAGTCGCAGTGGTGGTTCACTGATGCTGCTAGAGCGCGTTTGATTGAAAGGACAGATAGACCAGATCTCGTGCTGGACGAACGCCACGAGGGGGAGCGGTAGCGAGATTCAGTTGAGAGAATGGCTGCCAGTCGAGGGTTGCTAATCGAGAAGGGTGGGAAGAGACAAGCGAGCTCTCGCAACGGCGAGTTGACTGTCGGGAGGCCTCGTCCAAGAGAATCGTCTTGTTCCAGCCTTCCTATTCTTTGCGCCCTTCCTACTGCTGCCCATGTGGGCGGTCCTGTGGACTGGTGCGTCCTTCTTCCAACTGTGTTCCGTTCCGTTTCACCCCACCCCACCCCACCCCACCCCTTCGTTTAGGCTACGAACTGTGTATACGTCTCAAACAACAGCCGCCACCACCGCATGCATTTACCCATTGATATTGCCGCTTGCTTGCGCTTGGCTTTTTCAGTGAAAGTCGCTGTGGTGATTTCTAAACCTTTTGGAGTGGGGAGTGTGGGGGGGGAGGGGGTCGATCCCGTTCAACCTAAAATTGCCATGATGCTTAGTTTCTATTTTTTTTGATGCGGAATTGTGATGAGCCCCAGCTATTTCGTTTATCCTGGCGCCGTTATAACTGAATGTGAAAATAACAGCCGGGGAAAGAGAACGCAGGAGAGTAAAGTGATATCTGTTGTCTACGTGGATGTTATATTGTTTGTACGACGACCGCGACGATTAAGGCGGGGGTAGGAGGTAGTGGAAGAGGGTTGAGGCACCATCAAGAGCCGGTGTCAGAGAATCAACAACCAGATAGCCGCCAATTCTAGTGTCTAGTAAATAGCAGGGTTGCGTCTGATGCATCTCTGACGAACGTCTTCCAACACTTTACCCAGCAAAAAGCAATCGACTACTTTAAAATAGACAAAGCAAGAACTTGGGAAGGCCAGTGAAAGATAAACGTGATTAAGGTTAGTAGATACTAGAGAAGCGATGGATATAGATAGCAAAAGACACTGAGGATGAGAAAGACCTTAACGTTACGAGGCTACACAGAGTGCTATTTATACGTCTGTATAGTAGGCAAGATTCAAGACGAGAGGTTTAACACGGAGAAACGGAAAGTTACTACGATGCCTGTAAAGGACAACTTATGAGTTTTTGCTTTTTCCCGTTTGCTCTGTTGATCTTCATGTTCGCCATCTACATTTCTCGATGGTGGTAAGTAGTCGTGGCTAATGAATTTGGCAATGTTGTAGCCTCTGTAAAAAAAATCCAACTACCTGACAATATGGTTAGGTGGGAGACTCTGTTTACAAGAAGCTGGATGTATGCCCAGCTGCAGAGCAGGAAATTTCTAATGCTACAGAGCAGTGGGGAGATCTACGCGGGAACTGTTGGTTGTTCGAAGAATGCCCGAATGCAGTGCAGAGCTATAAATATTCACCGCATAGATACGATTACGAATTTGGTTGAAACATCGAGATGAAGACAGGCGAAGGAATTCAAACATGAAGACGGCGTAATGATTAAATTCGTGCTCGTTGATGAAACCGTTTTGATGACAAGCCATTACAAATCGTTCTGGCACGCGTAATGCTAGTATCAATGACCACAGCGGCCCAAAACCGCCATACGACAGCAAAACGCGAGTCGAAAAGCGAACCAAACATCGAGACAGGGAAATAGACCCAGCTGGGCGAGCCTGAAAGATGAATTGAACTATTGAGCCTTTTTCTAGCATAGTGCAGTCAGTTGAGCCGCTTCAATGGTCCGTCTGGTCGCCGGCCACAAAACTGTGTTTTCAGAGCTAAGATGACGTAGTAGAGTTTCCAGAAAGGCAGCAAACAATGATAATAATCGCACCGGTACCAGCAGTCGGGCTACGTTGGCCGTCATGACGCAAACGATGTGGCGGGGCGACAAGACATTTTCGTGGTGGGAAATTCTGAAAAGCGCCCGCGCTGTGACGTGCTGCCTATAATCTATGGTATGTCTGGGGAGAAGAGGACTGACTGATGGGCCGGTTAGAAATTTGTAGCGTTATCGAAAAACCTAAGGTCCATCTTTGAATGGGTGGAAGTTTATTGACAACAGATCCGCACCTCTATGCAAAGTTCATTTTGGAAAAGAAACATCTTCTTGGAAGAGACAGTTGACAACAAAAACAGACCGAAGAGTGTCGACAACGCAATTCGTCTCTTAATGTCGTATTACATGGTAGTGTGTTATTAAAAAGGTTGGCTTGGAAGATAGCTTGCAGCCATTATATATATATCGGCTTGAGCTGGTTCCATGTTGCACACGATTATGTAAATAGTTCTTAAAAACTTTAAACAAACTACCACAAAATAACAGCTCCAATCGAAATTATACTCCAACACTAATTCAAAGAGCATCGATTTCCATCTCAATAGCCATTTACAGTGTAAAGGACATTTGGTATAGACCCCATTTGTGGTTGATATAAACATTATAATTTTGTCTTCTATATTCTATAAGCCTTCTATTTATTCGTAAGAAAACTGCGTTAGAATTAACACTTAACCCATTCGTAGCGACAAATTTGACCTTTTTTTTTGTAAAAATTTACATATTTAACCTTTTATACATCGTAGTCAAACATTGCATCGTCGAAACACTATTGAACATCTGCGTTTATTTGCACAAAACCAGCATGACTGGATACAGTTGAGCTAGGTTCACATGAAGTATCAGTAGGTACAATAACTTGAATGAGATAAGTAAGTTACGGTGAAATTAGTAAGTATCGGTCCCCGTTGATAGAGATAGCATTCATTTTTCAAGCATTTCAAGCGGAGATTTTATTCAGCGGATGTGCTCGAATGCAGTATAATAATAGTCCTGTACCTCTAAGTAAGAGTAGGAGTTTGCCTATGCACAGATACATACATATTACTGTTTTTTTTTCTTTCTTTTTTTTTTTTTTTTTTTTAATTAACATATGCTCATCCACTATTCTTGAGCAATGCCAGCGGTTTTTAGGGCAGAACCTTAATTTAATAATAGCAGAAAAAAGTGGTCCAAATTATAAACTTGTTAAGTCGATAGTCTATTTCGATCACGAGATGGCTCACTAAAAAATGGCAAGAAAATTTGCATAACGCCAAAGAAAAACGGAAGAAATATTAGATATAAAAATAAAAAATTGATCAAAAAAAGCAGGCCATAACATTTGTGCAAATATTAGAGGCCGATTTGAAGATAAGATTATCTACCGCCTATAAAAACGTAGACATAGACTAATATTTCTCTCTTAACTTTTTCGCTTTTGGGAATCTGATGGCCCTTTTTCAGGTCCTGTATATTTGGCCTAATGTTAGTTCGAACGTTTAGGTCCGGTAGATTTTCTGTGACGATCTCAGTGGGTATCTATATGTTTATTCATTCTCAATTACTACTAATTTAGAGATGGCATTTTTGAAATTACTAACACTTGGAAGTTTTAGACATTTTCAAAAATTTCAATTACCAAATATTCGAAGAAGGAAAAACCATGTTTATTAACCATGTCTTTGTTGTCATGTGTAAATCATTTCATCGAAATGTATGTTTTTATTACAAACAAATTACGTTAAATGAACAAGAAGGTCAACGGAAAGATTACATCAATGTAGTAGGGAATCCTCTACAATACAGTTGTCGCGGCATAAAAATTTCAAGTGACTAGTTTCAATAGGTAACGCAATGGATTCTAAATCCAATATGGGGCATTTGAGGGAAAGCTACGTGTAGGTATATATATATATATATATATAAACGAAGTTGTGTTCAAATGTAAGCTGGCAGCCACTTGACCCGGTTATACTATGTATAATAATATCTAAGCAACTGCTAGCATTGTTAAATAGTGAAATACAGCGCCATCACGAAAAGGTACATATAAAACACTTTGGTTAGTCGCCATAAAGGTTGTATTATAATAAAAGGGTGAAGATCATTTCTTCAAGCAATAGTCACCCAGTCTACTTTAATCCGTTTCAATCTAGTGATTGTGGTTAGAATTTTCGCGGGCTAACATTTTCTCTATACATTAACTATACCTGCTAGAGCATATTGTTCGTATGGTAAATAAGAAATGTCGAAAGTTATGGTAATCGGTATTACGAGTTGGCGTAGTATTTAGGCATGTAAAATGCCAACAGTGGCGAAAGGAACTTCGGCGGAATGCGCTTTAGAAGTTACAGGCACCTACGTTACATTCAACGAGGCCAAATTATAAGGAAAACAGTGAGTCAGCAGGGAGTGCTGTCCGTCGGCAAATACGTCGTCTTTCCAATGACTCATAACAACAGCAATATTTCCATTGATATATATATATATATAATAGGAACTTTCACAGTTAAGCCACAGATAAAGACAACAAGCATAGACTAGAAATAAACTAGACTCTGCGCTGATCCAGTCCGTCTATAAAATTTGTCGGTTATTTTGTTACAGTGTAGTAAAGTGATAGCATCGTCTTGTCCGGCGGTGTGTTAGCTCGACGCAGCGTTTCTCTTCCATCGAACAAACATGCTCACCCTGTTCTATTCCCACTAGTTGCCACGAACCGTTGATAAATTTATTGTAGTACGAGTTTATTCGACAGGCTAGCGTATATCTGACGTTTACCGATGGCTTACCAGAGCGGGATACATTGTTGTTCTATTACCTATAGGCCACAGTACAGAGGAAAGGGACTGACTTATCAATGCGCTTAGTGACCCTTTAGGAGCTTTTTGTTGAAAAACAAGCACAAAAATCCACCTTGGGAGTGTGTCGGACCCTAAGAAACCGACCGTTTTAATTGTAGGGAATTTTTGCTGCGTTTTTTCAATTTTATCAGTGTATTTTTTCATCATGTTCAGGGTCGAAGCCGATAGCTGAGTAGCATTTTCAACAACATGCTTTTTTCCATCAAGGTTACTAATGACAGAATTAACGAGCTCAGGAGCTAGTCCTAGAGTAGGTAAAAAGGGGTCGTTAGGTTGGATATAATTGGGCTGATATAATTGGGTTGGATATAATAATCCCAATTGGATATAAATTGGGAGCATAGTAAAGGAAAAACGAGAAAAAACACTGTTTGTTAAATCTGACGAGGTAATATGAACTCTAATCTGAAACTGTCGTTAACGAAACAAATCGTTTAAGTAAGTGCAAGAAACGGCTAAGCAACAATAATCACTACATTTTAGCCATTACTTGAATATCACATATTTAAACTTGCGCATCGTAATTGTGTCATTTAGAAGAAAAAGGAAGTTAAACTTGTTCCTATTCATCTGCTAGATTTGTAAGACTATCCAACGTGCACGCCGTTCTATCTGCTATTAATTTTCAATTTTTTTCCTAAAATGTAGAGGGCTATGATAACTATAATTATAAGGTAGACGGACTGCATTTGTTTCACGTATCGTATATGGAATAAAATATTTGGCCTTTTAAGTCAATGTTCATACGTCGCCAGCGTTCGGGAAACGCAGGATTGATTAGCGTATCAATAGCGTAAGGAACCTGTATTGGTTTTTCGGCCATTCCGTAAGTGAAGTTTAATACGTGAGAACTACAGGGTATAAATAATAAGCTTACGGTTAGTGGCTGTACAAACGTATCGAACTTACCTTACGAGCTTCGTACCTTTCTGCATCTGATCATAGGATTAGGCATATGCACGTCAGTCGCAAATAACACTTGAGTCTATGTTGGCTTTACGAAGAGTAAAGTTATGAGTCTTGTTAAATGATTATGCATTTTGATTTGCTGGTCACAGTAACGGTTCTGTCTTTGCGATCATTTCGATTATCTCGATATAAGTTCGAATCTTCAAGTTCGCAATATTCTATAAGGTTGTATTGGCGTATAATAGTCATGTTGCGTCTTACCAGCTTGATGCTACATCTAATATAGAAAAGTGCACGCGTCCTTTAGATCCGTAGGCTGTACCACATTATCCTTTAGATCATTTGTAGAATAGCCAACGTGCATAGCAATAAACGACATTTCTGTCGTCTCTACCTGCGCCGACAACGAACACCTAGCAACCGCAGCGTACCTCCTTGTCAGATGTCTCTTCTGCCTTGCTAATCCATTAAAAAAAAGCACTCTTACACATAGTTCAGGGCAGAAGTTCTGTCGAAGACAGAGTTACGAGGCATTATCGCTTTTGATTATAGCCAGCTACGCCTTGAACGTTGCCGGACGGCTTTTAAAACTTTCAAAGATTCGAACTTCTCTTGGTGACCTTCAGTTAAGTATCGTCGATCTGATCGCTTCTGGTCAATGCTAGTAATAATCACAGAGGCAGCATATGGAGTGATGAACTTAACAATGACAAAGCAGAAACTTATAATAAAGACCGACAGGGGCGTTTCGCATGAATAAGTGTTACCTATGCTGTCAAAGGAGCGTTCATACTGAACAGGTAATGAAATTTCTCAGGCTAAGAAGATCATTTTATTAGTTCTCTGTAAAGAAGCCCTTACTTCATTCTTGCTTAGTTTTCTGCTGGGCAAACACCGGTGATTCCGAGACTGAAGGCGAGGCTTAACGACACGCTTGGTCACGCAGGCTTTCCAAAGGATGCCGGATATGCTTTACACGCGTATGGCTTAGATCGGACGTAGCCTTTCCAAGCGACATGTTAGAAGTTTGTAACATGACCGTGACGACATGCCTTGCCACGGCGGCGGTTAGTGTTGCAGATTTTAAGGTGGTTTCGATTGTGGAGCCGGGTGTTTCAAGTTTTAACGCAATCGAATTACTGGACGTGGGCGCTGTCGATGAAGATAATTCTATTGATTCGACACATTTTCTGATAGAGGCTTCTGATAAAGGGAACGAGAAGGGAAAACGTAACGTATGATATCTATCTTCCCCTTGCACTGCATTCTAGAGGGCTCCGCATGTGAAAGTAAAAACGGTACGCAACATGTAAGATTCCTGCTTTTTTCCTATTTGTAGATTTTTTTTACTGTTCCAACACGCTATGATTGTTTAATTTGAATATACCTTAATCAATACTTGCGGCGTATAACTAATATTTAGGTAAAACATGGTCATACTAGAATATAATAAATCAAAGCCTATTCCCATGTTGAAAAAGAAAAGCTACATTTAGCCGTAATTCATTGGGATGGATTACAAAATACCTTAGACTAAAAGGTAATGAATGCAAACTGAGATAATTATCTTACGTATTTATTTCTTTCAACAGGTTTTACGGATATTCGTTTCTGAGACACTCGCATCGTCGACCCAAAATTATATTTGTTATTATAGATCATAGTACCGTATCTTAAATACTTTAATAATTTTATTATATTTGACTACTAGCCACGCAACAAATAAATAATAATTATAAATTCCATTATATATTATTCAAGCGTATTAAATTTTCCACTGACCAACGGCATGCATCGATTCCAACACGATTTTCTAAGCAAAATATTGTACCACACTTGAAAAAAGCTTGAAGAAAAAAACAATTACTATCTCTTTGACCTCGCATTTAAGGAGCATTTAGCCGTAATTCACTTGGATCGAGCACCAAATATACCAACTGGAATATAGGCCGGCAGGCTCTTTCCGTTTATAGCTATCTCATTAGGTTTCTTTTACATTGTTATGCCCTTTAAAATAAATCCGTTCGATGTTAGTATGTCTCATCACGAGTCAACATGAGCGGTTTCCAATCTAGCTTTGTCGTCCCGAATTACGGTCGCACAATTTCAAAAAATCTTCAACAAGCTGATATATGGAGCACCAGATCGTAGCTTCATTTTGCTGACTGAAACAGTTTCAATTCCTTTGGACCAATTAGAGGTTTTGTCAGTTATTACTATGTTTACCATGGACTATAAAGCAAAAACATGGACTTTTACTCAATTCGAATATTTCTAATAAACTGCTTTGGTATTTTCGTGACAGCGTTGCTTGCTGACGTTGCTAACGTCATAGATTCTTTTTTCTTTTTATATACTTTACGGCAATCTTCAGTGATCTTAACAATGCGCTTGGCGGCGTCTAATGAATTCGTCCATCCCCTGGCTCAGTATTAACTTAGTAGAACAGGCGAACTAAAATAACTTCAATCTCTCAAATTAGCGGATTAGTAATAGTAATAATAATAATAATAAATTAGTTGAATCCCTTTTCAGGGTTCTGTCTTCTATGACCGATACTGGGGCTCCTAGCAAATGTAAGTCTGTGAACGTAAAACCACACACATTGGCGTCCATTTTTCCGTTTGCTGCTGGACCGAAGTTAGGGAAAATAGCATATGTCCTCAACCGACAGTTTAATACAACGGTTTACGCCTTATCTTAGGCCACGAAGGTCCAAGATTTACATAAACCGTACTTGAGTCCATTGCCGCAACCGATTCCATTTGAGCCTTTTTAACGTGGTAAATATCATTTCTAATTACGCAACCAGTATTATTTTGTAGCAGTTAATTCGTTGAGTGTACGAAGTGTATATATTTTATAGATTGATACATTCAAGATAATGAATAATGAAAAAATAAATGACCGATTTACTTCAAGTAACTTGCCTTCCGCAGTTACCAACTCTCGTTTCCTACTGACGAACTAAAAAGAGACGCGTATTTTTTTTTACAAATCCTTAGTTTTCTTTTTAATTTTATTCAGTTTCTTCACTCACATAAGTTTATCCTGTATTTTGGGTTAGAAAGGTGAATCAACACGGCATTGTTCTTACGCATCGCTTGATTACTTTATATATATATATATATATATATATATATGTATATATATATTGATTCGAAAATTATTTAATGTATAAATATTGTATTATATTGAATCAATCACTAACCAACAAATTATGGTAGAAAAAGAACATTATCCATCCATTTTTTTTTAACAAAATGAAAAGTATAGAATTTTTTATGCAAGAATTCTTCGCATTGTTGTACCGAGTATCATTACGCCATTGAAGACAGGCAAAGCAAGATCAGATTAGAAACACCCTAACCAATAGATGATCTCTGTACTAATGCACGTGATCCTTAGAATACCTGCTTCCCCAAACAAGCATGCCAACGACTAGACTTTAATCCATTTGTTTTCCAGGTACACACGTATAAATGTTTCTGTATTAGAGATACGCTATACCTAAATACGTCCACCATGATGCGTCGCGAGCTCATGGTGGTCATCAAAAACGCTGTAAGTCGTTACCTCATTAATTAATTGTTACGTGTGGGAATATATATATAACAGCATCATTATCACGCACAGATCTGCCGTAACCAACCGATAAGAAGTCAACTTTAGAGGTTATTAAATGGAAAACAGAAACATTTCAATTCTATTTGAACAAAGATTTGTTTCCCTGGTAAAACATTACCGACTTTGTACCCCACTAGTAAATTCATGCAGGTTTGTTTCACCAGTATCCAGTCCTGGGTAAAGCCAGTCTAAATTCTCGCTTGTAAGGCACCATTCGAGAGTTCACTGAAACTGCTTAATTTCATGAAAACCTAGCGCCAAGATAATGTCTTCTTTTTTTTTTTTGCTTTTTGATTATGGGTACGATTCGTTAAACCGCATAGGTTAGATGAAGAGCTTAAAGCCATTAGGTTGCAGCTCTGATAAAAAAATCGAGCTGAAGATGAACAAAATACCATATTCATCGTATCGTTGTACAATCGTTTGTAGAAATTGAGTCAACCAGGTGTGTGAATATTTAGGGCTCATTTTTTTTAAATCTAAACTTTACCCAAAGTAGAAATAACGTTTTACCCTAACAATAAAGTCCCATATCGTATTCGAGTATCACAAATGATATACGTGGTGTCTTGCAACCATATCTGTGACGGCATGTGTTTCTTGATCTTTGGTGCGTATAGAAGGAGGCCATGATCTAAACCTACAGCACATGTTTTTTTTAACGGTAACATACACTACAGCATAGTTGTATTAAAGATACTCATTGTTTGTAAGTGATAACGTTTTTCTCGATGTTTCGTAGGGGTATAACCTTTAGATAATTGAATTATTCTAGGAAGTAAATGCCTATAGAAAATTGTGCTCCTTGGCATGTCTTCGTTTCGTCCTAAAGACAATATACGCCCAAACTTAACAGTGACCGAATGAACATTTAATCTGTGCCGTGTCCACTCTTTTGTGACATACATCAAAGCAAAAAAGACGATAAGCTTGCCTGTGATGTAGTATACATACATACATATACGTATATATATATATACACACATATATATACATATATATATATATATGTGTATATATATATATATGGCACTGGTTAACATTACGTGTTGTTAGCGCCAGAATACTCAATCACTTTACACTGAATTGTCCTTTCATCAGGTCTACGTACTTTTGGATGCAATTCTTAAAGGTCAGTTACCGTAATACCGGCAAGTTGTATAGACACACCTAATTCTGTATACATGCAGACGACGCTTCCACGTGCAAGGATGTCGATAATGACAATAACAACAATGGCTCAGTTGTTTAGACATGTAACATTGTAACGTTCAAGATATAAAGTTATTATAGAATCGTATATCGTTTTGTTCTTTCAGCAGTACTTACAAAATATACAATACACTTTCTCGCAACAACACTTAACAGTTTACTTGTTTGTATAGTCGATACGTCCTGCAATGGCTACGAGGTGTCAGAACTGATGGCTACTGGCGGACGCGTCTTTTGAAGCAAGTTCGCATGATGCATGCGCAGGCCTTCGTGTGCCATCGCCTCTACGGAACTTGACACTGTCCATCGATTCCTGAGTTACCTAGAAATGTGTTGTTGTATCGCGGAATGAGATGACCAAATAGTAATAGTTCCGCGTTAATACCGTTGACGGAAAAACTTGTAAGTACGCGTGTGGCCAGCCAACTATCAATGGGAACGTGCCCGTTGAAAATGTTCGAACCGAATGGATTAGATAAAATTGTTCTTGTATTGTATGCTTAGGCTTATGCCTGTTCATAGCGTTCACTGGCGAGTCTTGGATTTGTCGCGGCAAATTCTTACTTATTCCGGTTATCTCAGAAATAATCGACGATAAACTTAAGCACAATAAAATTGTGTGCTAACGATGCTAAATAGGCAAAAAAATATTCCACAAACCTGTTTGCAATCATAGGCCATTCCTATTAGCCACATAAAGTCAATGAACAGTTTTGTAGGGTTTAGGTACCTGTAACAGTAAATTGTAAGGCTTGAGCTATCACTGCATTGAAACATATCTACATTACATTCGTTTCATTAAGATACAACAATGGCAATAAGAACGAAAGTCCGATACTAGCAAAGTTAGCTATCGCTCCAATCTCTCTAGCACGAAACGACGCGTATTTACGCTAGCATCAAGCCTAACTATTGGGTCTCTAATGAACAACGACCCGGAGCATTTGTCTTCGTAACAACGCAGTGGGAACAGAGTAACGGCTACAACGTACGAACCATCCCAGCTCAGAGCAAGCATAGTCGTGTGGAAACGTATGATGGTAGTTATGCCAGCCTTCTCCGGCTGCAGCGAAGGCGACAAATCTGGTTTCTGTTGGCCAAATCGTGTTATCGAACGGTTTTTCGCCAAAATAGTGCGCGAACGAATTGACAGACCACGTTACATTGAGCTGAATGACCTGCAAATGTATATTTGTTGTATAAAACAAACAGAGGGTTCTCTAACGCCGGAACGTCTTAGGAAAACAAAAACACACTCGCTGTTTCATATCACAACCATCCCTATTAAAGCTGCTAGCCGAATTTAAGGATCAGGTCTAATCTGGATCGTAAGATAAACTTAGATACTAATTAGAACAGTTAGCGCGATCCACTCAGTTCAGCGTTGTCGTCTGGAAAGCAACCTCCCACATAGCGCTTGTCAATCTGTCACAGTTTTACGTGCGAGAAAAAAACAATATGAATCCCGCCGACGGCGTCAGCGTCAAGCAGAAACGAATTCTATCTAAAAAGAAAAAAAGAAAGAAAGAATTTAGAACCGGTCTGAAGACGCTTACCAAACGGATTATCGTGCAGATGTAGAATGCTACCCAGATGGACTCATCCCAGCAGTATACGGGCAGACACGTGGGGATCAAGGTAGCGAATAGTAAGGTCAGCACAACGTAATGTCTACATTGGACACGAATAGGTAACCAGCGATCAACATCCATATAGTACCAGTCAAAATAAAGGGATGCAATAAAATAGGCAAGAAAAAACAAGAAGTACAACACAGATAGACAACGACTGACTGAAAATCAGCAAACGGTGATGAAGATGATTGATTGGTTGGTTGGTTGGTTGGTTGGTTGATTGATTACAGTCTACGGTGCAGTAAACGAACGATACGGCTATCTCAGCCCGTAACATTTCTATATGCGGCCCGTTAACAATTAATAAACTGATAAACGTTAATAAATAGAATAACAAATTAAGACATGCATAGTGTTTGATAAACTGCAACAATGCAATGAAGAAACGTAGTGTTGAACCAGTTCGAGTTTCACCTAATCGATAAGCTTTAAATAAGAATTAGACGCGTTTCTTCTCTTCAGCGTTACGTTAGAGTACGCCTCAACTAGCCGATCGACCCATCGAAAAATTTCTCCTGTTGTTAACACCAGCAACAAAAGATATATTTGTTAGGTAAATACATGGTTTGCATTCAAGGCGCTTGATCACGGTGAGCAAGAGGTACGCAAATGACCCGCACAACCAATCTGCATACATCGGTACATACATCGACAGGATCCCTACACCCACACACATATCTATATATTCCACCACGCCTCGATCATGTACGTCGCACGTTAAACTTACCATGTATTTACTACAGACGACATTAATCTACCCACGTTATAGAAGGGGCAGCTGTTCAGAGAAGATCTGACAATTTTTCGTATGCAAATTTAAACCTAGAAGACGGTAGAGCGAAAAATGTCAGCAAGCGATATCATCAATAGTCATCGTGAAAAGCATCCCCTGATCAAGAGCAAATTCGTACCTGATCTGAAACGCAACAATGGGATCCTCGGCAACATCACTGCAGTCGACTTTGGATCCTAGGCGGGTCACCTGTACGAATAATGCTAGCTTTAACTCGTGTAAATTCCATTATCAGTAATCAGCACAAGAAAAAATAGCTCCCTTCTAGTCTGTTCTTTTTTGTTTTATACACCCACACTCACACGCACGATATGAGGTCCGCTCGAAGGGTTATTTAAAAATCTTTTGTGGGCATTGTTAGCAGTTCGACGAAACGTCTCTTTCGACATAAGCAGAAAAGCAAAGCTATCATATGTTTTGGCTATTTTTGTATAACTAGAATCTGTACCAAACGGTTCCATACGAAACTTAAGTCATGCATATTTTCGGCTGCCTCTACCTCTGGGTGCTTCCTAACAAAAAGCCATCCAACATGCGAGAAGAATAAACCCCGCGTGATATTGTGCGGGTCAGCGTCGGTATCAGAAAATTTATGATGAACCCGGTGATCTCTGAAAATATTAATTGGCACCAAACACAGAGTCAGTTATTTTGCGGCAATACAGGCAGACGTATACTATGTCCAGTATGGCGAAACGGTGTGACCGACGTATCTAGTTGAACGGCCGATAGCTGGCAACCTCTGATTCCTTCTGCCGCTATACGAAACCAAGTTGTTAAAATAACGATTTGTACATGCGTAATTGACGTTTTCTGTCGGTTTTCGAAGCAAGTAGAGTATACAATCTATATGGTTGTGTGCTTAAATCTTCACTTGATCATTTGAGATGAACTAAAAACAATAGTTAATGTTAGTACGTCAAATGCTGACCATGGTATTATTTCGATGTATCGTTATTATTATATAAAGCTATATTATTGACGTCTGAAGCTATCACTTACTCATAGTTAGCTTGTAAGTTCAATAGTTGTTTGACCTGGTGTGCTGACAAATCCATAGACAAAAGAAGAACTTGAGTCTTTTTTCTATACAATAACAGCTACAGAACGACAGCTTTTAGCTAGTTCGTTATCACAAGCTTCCATCATAGACTCTACTATTTTAGCAAATCGTCATCGAAGCGCTTCTGATCATAAGCATCAACCTAAAAGTGGAACGGTCATTAACGATCAAAGCTCTGGGTAGCATCCGTTAAAGCGGAAAAAATTCCCTTGAAGAACTACGAATAATACCCACCGAACCCAATCGTAGATATCATTTTGAGCGACGCAGCAATTCGCCAACATCAGAAATGCTCGTAAAGGCCAACGTGCTTTATATGAACGGTGGCACCAAAGTCTGTGGGCTCCGGCCGTAACGGACAACCCCGACACGGACAGATAGAAGAAAGCTAGATCGTAGGGAGAAACGTACAGAAAAAAGAACGCGAAATTTTTTCGTTAGGTTAAGGTGCTTAAAATCAATCCGTCGAGAAATCTTGTATTTGATATAATTTAGACACTTCGACTATAATGAATTGGCTGTACATTGTTTTCTTTTCATCCATCCGTCATGGAATTATGCTGTCTAGACGATGCTACAGAGCCAGGCTTAATTCATGCACAGTGATATACCGATAGCTGAAACAGCAACAGAAAGGCCGCTTCTATTTCTAAAAGAGCATAGGAGAAGATAACGCGAAGCGGATGGTGTCAGTCTATGTATTGCCGAAAAGCTGACAAACCAACTTATAGTTTCTAGGCTTTCAAATATTCTTAACCGGTTCTACACAAAATGGCTGGAAAGCGCGCTAACTTTAAACTTCTAGCAAAGACACACTGGATTTCCGCAACTAGTCATAGCCGCTAAAGTGGCAGGTAAGCACTCGGGTAAATGCGAGACAATTCTATACCATATTGACGATAACATTAACGACAGTAATCGCCGTTGGTTTATGTCTATGACGTCCCACCTTTGATCCGAAGTCTATGCATGACTAGCGTATTCTTCATCTATTTCAACACGAGTGCACAAGTTTACCTTGTCCTTTAACCTTTTGCTATTCAGTCTGTTTTGCCCCATTAAGACTATACGTTGTGTTCGTATCCTTTGCTAAAAATTATAATAGTTCTAAGAGAAGCCATGGCCGGAGATAGCACGTGCTTTATTTATCCGCTCAATGTTCCACTTTATGTTATTAAGAAAAAAGAACGAAAACATAAACTGTCGGCAAACACACTGCGCATTGACAAACTTGTCTGTGGATTACGAACACAAATAATCTGGTGGTTTTTTGTCATGCCCGAACCGACTTTTGCTGTCTTTGCCAAAAATATCTTTCGAAGTGGCAGGCAGCCTTGAACGAGCGTAGTGACTAGATGACATATTACTAAACAATCAATATGGCACTACAGCAGTTTTTGAAGGCCCATCACAAGTGTGTGGACGCCTTTCATTTTATCTAAATGATCGAAAGACATCGTGCCGAATACATGCAAACTTTTGATTCGGCTTCCTCTGTGCTGTCTACGACGACAGTAACGTCGATTGACGTTGAGAAGGAAACCTAAGATGTTCAGTCATCTGTGGAAAACTAGGGCGGAACGTTTATGTCTATGTGTCTGTGCCTAAATTTCCTGTAAACGCTTGTTTCCCCGTTATTTGAAGCAAAGTCTTCAGGCAACTGAGAATTAAAACGGCTAGCATCTGCGAAGGAGCCTTCGTCTGATCGACTCTTCATAGGTCGAAATGTGTGATCCGAATTTGTCAATATAACAGCATTCGTCCACAGTTTTTCACAAGTAGCGGCGGCCTTTACCGATATGCGCCTTGCAATGTACAGGCCAATGGTGAGTGTTACCAAAAACAACAATCTCGACAACAGCTAAACCAGACACTAGACGTTCGTATTAAGTATACTTTTAGGGAAAGATTCATATATTCGCCACGACCTCAATTTGCGATCATCCAACATTCCCCTCTCAAGGTATTTCAAGGATACTTAAGGAAGTATGCTGTCCTTTGTCCACAATTCTCTACCTCCTCATCCGCATTCTCCATGCCCGCCTATTTAATGCGCTGTATAATAAACAAGTTGCCAGCTGCAAGTTGTGCCTGAGACTTGAAGTTTCTATTTTATTAGACCCGCAAATATAAGCATTATACGGTAGAGTACAGGTGCGTCTAAAAAAATACGCTAGTCCTATTAGCTGCTAGTACCGACTCCTATCTAGCCAACGAGTAGTTAAACTTAAAAGACGTTGATATAATCTCGAGGAACGGAGTTTACACGGCGACGAACTACCCTTCGTCAAAAAAGAAAAGGTCCTTAATGGCCACATTGCCTACTTGATCGATATCGAACTGCCGTCGTGATCTGCCCGTGTCAGACAGCTCGTTATCGGCGTTCTGCTATATTTCGTTGAAAAACGTTATTTAGAACTGTTACGTTCGGACCATATCGCGCTGTCACATGTAGAATGTTCAGCGGAATCAAGATAATAGCTTCTTTCGTAAGCAGAGCAATTTATACAGTGTTCCTTTGTTGAACCTGATTATGGTTTTGCGAGTTAAATGATCTAACATCCAGAAACAATTATACGTAGAACGTGATGCTCGTTTGTCGAAGGCCAAAGCGGCTTCCTTGCCATCTCCTATGCTTGTCCGTAGTAATATGTTTTCATATTTTTAGTATATTACATAGGTTTAATTATAATCCACAGTTGACGTCGGCGAATGTTGATACCGTAGAACGTAATATCTGTTCTTTGATCTGTCACACCTTTTCTCCGTCGATATGTGATGCTGATCATCATGTCGACCCGGGTCAACGCTGTTAACCACTGCCGGACCAAAAGTGTATGTTTTACTAATGCTGTCTATTCTAGGGGCTCCGCAACTGTCTGGTGCTAGCGCTAGGAGTCAAACTAAAAGCGCCCAAAAATACTTATCAACCTGTTGTTCTTATGCCGCTTAAACGCGAGCGGTTACTCATTGGTCGCTGACTTGGATGGTAAACGTCTTTGGACGGTTACATACGAACTGCGGCTCGTGTGTATAGACATATTGACGTTTTGGCCAATCCTTAAATTGCTATTCTACAGCCGACAAAAAAGGTGTTCATCTGCATACTTGTGACGGTGTACATCCTATAACTGGTTGGCTGACGAGCACCGGCTAGTACAACGAATTTGTATGTAAAAGCCCACTTCGCCTGAATCGGCCGTCCCGGTGTAGGCGGGCCCTAAGACACATAATCCAACCCAGTTATACCTCTCCTATACGACGTGATTTACGGATTGAAGTTAGGGTCAATAACGTTACATCTATTTTTCCTTGAATTCGTATATCGTGTTAGCGAACGGGTGTAGCCAATTGGCCGTTGTACAGTCAAATAAGCAAAGTAATTGTGGTTTCATGTGCCAGCAAGCACAACGATGCGTGCGTCCATGTGTCCACAGGTGTCCCTGTATTACATACGCGTATCTATCCATCAAACACGAAATGAAAGAGGGTAATGTCTTTAGTTAGCCGATGGGCAGTCAATCGATGGATGGCATTAAGGTGATTTTTAATGTATTAAGAATGAGTATAATCATTATTTCAGATCTTACCGCAATCTTCTCACATTAGTTTTCGACGCGTTCGTTTTATCGAGCATTGTGGGTTCAATACGCGCTCATAAAACGCTTATTGGACGCTCATTCGGAACAAACGCATTGTATATGGTTACATTTGACAAATCGTGCTCACGCGATACCGTGCAAAGTCATATCCCATCATATAAACGCCGATAGCGTCGATGTTATGGCAATACGAAGATCTGTGGGTCGAACGGGGCGTCATCGCCTCACTCAAGAACTTGCCGACATCGATAGATGAAATGTCCAGTGGCTTTTTTGCCAACAACTTAGCGGATAAATCGATGCGAATTACCGGACGAAACTATTTCAAGCGTAACAATAAGTTACTGTGAATATGGATCAGCCATGGCTTGCAACTAATTCCGCTGCATTTAGCTGGGGAAGGGCGGTGCGAGCGCACGTACTGATAAATCTAAGACACATAGAGTCTACGTACAGCTGGGAATCTTATCGGATTGAAGTTGCCCTGTCTGCTAAGCTGGCGAGGTTTAGCAACAACGTACAAAGTTCGGCTAGCGCAAATCTGTCCTGCGTTGTTGCTTCCTGCACATATGTGCCGTACTCTAGGTATTGACACCACAAAAGCTTTCCCTAAATTGATTTGAACGACAACTCTGTCAGAAGGGTTAGCAGTGCTTTATTGTTTGATATAATCATCAGTGTTTTTTTTCTACGAACGGAAATGCTGCCACTGTGATTTGTTTTTCTAATTGTTCAGTTACGATCAGGAAAACGGCTTCGTCCTAAGGGCATGCATCAAGTTGACATGGTGTGTTTTGCAAGCCGGCAAAATCTGCGAGGCAATGCTCCGTAATTAGTCATGCCTAGCTAAGCGTTACAGATTAAAGATACGCAAATGTTATTTTCTCTTCTCTATTGTAATTGATGCCAAAATGTACTGATATTTGCGGAAATAAAAGGTTACGATATGTCTAAATATTAATGCCTTATCAGCTGCCGATGGTAGCAGCGAAAATCGTAGATGCAGTGATTTAGTCTCGTTCATCACTGTTATAGATCAATCAACCGATCAATCAACGTCGACTTTATTTGACTGCTTAGCCTCTGATTCGGTACTGAGAATGCGAGACGGTGGTTACTACTAAACGTAGCGAAGAAGGCCGTGGGTCATTTAGTTTCTATATCGAGGCCAAGACTTCCCGCCGCTGTGCACATTATCACATTATTCACCTTACAAAACGACGAAATCGTGCCCGAAAAATTATTTTTTAAACACCATTATCTCTTAATGAAGCCCGTACCAACATACATGGAATATACTAGATGAGTTCGAGAACACTTGCTGCATTTCGTTTAAAATTCGACTATATATTTGACAACAAAAAAAATCAGTCATTTCGAGGTCACTAAGCCTTTAAATATATCTTTGTAGGAAAGAAAAATAGGACTAACCGGTGGACTGGTTTAAACTGAGCCTCCACACAATCCATACTTAAGCGGTCATACTTTTCGTCTTTTTAGCGTCTATCGGACTGCTGCGCCGACGGACATTTCGTGTTTTTTTTTTTTTTTTTTTGTTTTTATGCGACATAAAATTACAAAACGAGCAATAGCAACGTGACAAAATGTTAGCAAATGTGAAATATGGCACAAGTGACTCTGTAAGCTGTTCCACCTCCGTCTTTCATATCCTGTCCCCTTTTGTTGTCCCAAAGTGAAAAGACTAAAAAAAACGCTGATAGGCCCATTTGATATAATATTTACGACATAACTTATGTGCACAATCGTAACGCACTGATGCAGCACC